AAAAAAAAATTATATATATATATATGTACATATAAATTCTCAATAAAATGTTAAATGGAAAATAAAATATACTCTCTCTCTTTATTCAAATCGCGGATAGAATTCCATTTCGAGTTATAAGCTATTCATAGCAATTTTTAATAATCAATAATAGTTAAGTAATTTTTAAGACTTACTGATTCATTGCATCTATCTGTAATTATAATGTCAAAAATGAGAAAAGCATATGATAAAAATTCTTGTAAAATAAATAAAAAAATGTCTTTTGCTAAATTACGTTTTCATTTAATAGAATAGATTTATATCGAAAGTTCTTCTTTCGTTAATCAATAAATAACATAATAACATCTAAATAACATCTAATATTGAATTGTTTTTTTCTTGATTAAGTACAATTCATTTTCTGGATATGTGATTATATATTGATCATAAAAGTAAAAAAAGAGTTTTTGATATATCTCTATGCGTTTTGTAAGAATTTTCATATCTTTTTTTTTTTGTTTCTGAAGTTATAATTCAAGATAATGACAATGAACTAGTAGTAGGAGCCTTAAGGATACCTGAGGGATACTTCAGCCGATGATGCAGCCGCAAATAAATCACGTGCGAGTCTTCTAACTGTGCGGTTCATATTAGCAGCACCAGCATTCGATTCGCTTCGTCCAGCTGCTGAGATACCAGCCCGAAGTTCACTGTTTTCTAGTCGTAGCAGAGATATCTCTGTCTAAATTAATACATTTGCAGATCGACACATTAATTTAATATTTTATCTCGTTATAATTATTCAAATGCAAACAATACTGACCGTTAAAGCCTTAATCTCCTTCTTCAACGATGTGACAGTACTTTCGGCATTAACTGCCCGCTTCTACGAAATATAAATACTGTTGTCGTTTATCAATTTATTGTTTCACAAATTACAAATATTCATGTTTACTTACTGTACTTCGTTTTAAATTATCTTCAACTTGCTCCATCGCTTTTTCCAAGTGCACAGTTTCCTCGTGTTCGACTTCTCTTTTGGATAATAATTCTGCTTCCAATGAACGAATTCTGCAATTAATTAAACATCCATAACATGAGGGAACAAACTCATTCCAATGAGGTACAATTACCTTTCTGTTTTTTCAATAAGTTGCCTTTGAACTGTCCACAATTGCTCACGTAACTCTTCGTTTTCGAGCAAAAGCTGCAACATAATTTCTAAAATATCATCTCTGTTTCACCTTATCTTTTAATGTTCTATTATTACACAGTCTCACCCTTCTTTCGGCGGATTCTGCCATGCTCGTAGTAGGTTCTGAATCTGTAGTTCTATTATGTATAGGACCATCGCTTAAGAAATCTGGCAAAGATTTATGGATATTCACTTCGCTTCCTGACAGAGAATCGTTCCGTGTGGTTGCATTTATATTGGGATTGGAGTCTGGAAAGGGTAATGGCAAATCGAATGGAAATCCTGTAAATAAAATGACTCTCATTTTCACGAACTTTGCACAGATATAATTGTATAATTTGAAACAAAATTTGTACGCAGATACCTCTATGTTCGGGGCGAGGAAGGGAAGGTGCATTTTCCTCAAGTCTATTTTCAAACATAGGTAGATCTAAATGATTCGAGTGCATCGCGTTTGGTACAGAATGATCTCTATGCGACATGCTTTTATGCAACGTATCGGTGAGATCAAATGATCGCAGATCATCGCACAGGACATCAGAGTCATTCTTTTTGGCTTCGTTCCGCAATCGAGACTGTCTCTGTTCTACACTATTCAATGCAAAATCCGGCAAATTATCCACGTCAGGCAATACCGGCTGACTGTTTTCATGATTCAGGTAACACTGTTCGATGACCAAGTGATCCTGCACAAAGTCTGGCAATTCTGTCGGGTTTCGGCCAGAGTAAACGCCACTGCCATTGTCCTTGTCGAGGACGCTACCAGGACTCGATGCAGAGGAGGAATATACCTTGGGCCGTGCTCCTGTGGTGTGATAATTGATTTGTGGCGTGCCATTCTTCAGAAAGGCCTTAAAACTAAAGGGGTTGTTGTCTCGACGTGACGATGCATCTTGACCTGCGAAAAATCATTTTCAACTTGCAATCAAATATGAAAAAAAGTAATCCATGTTAAAATATATGCGTGCGATAGAATGAATTTGCGTAAGCAATAACAGTAAATTCTAACCTATAGACTGTTCCACGGGGTTGACGCGACTCCTAACAAAGGGATCCGAAGCCGGCGATGGATTATTTCTAGACTGAGTATCTCGGCAATAAGTCGAGGTCATCTTCTCCTCGTCGGATGACGAGGATGGCGAGATGGCCTTGTTCCCCGACGGCGATGGAGGGTTCCTGCACGCCGCTACGCAGGACGGCCAGACAGCAGCGGTCGTTTTCTTTTCCTCCTCGTCGGACGATGAGGACCACACGTGACGTTTTGGCAACGACGACCGACGTCCCGTATCGTCGGTCTTCTTACGACTCGCCATAATTCGCGTCGACGCTACGATCGAGTCATTCGCGACGCTCGACCTCGCCGAGAGGAATGCGCGCTCGCCTGACGTCCGTCACTGTCTGCTGATGCGTCAGGTTAGGTTGATTCGGCCAGCAGCACTTTTCAACCTTCTTCGATGTCCGTCTGTCTGTACTCTCTCTACTCATACTTGTTACGCTGAAACGGTAAGGATATATCTAGCCTCTAAAGGAAAAAAACAGAAGAGAAAAAGAAAATACAAAAAGAGAAAATACAAAGCGTAAAAAAATGTAAATAAACGAACGAAGCTTCCTTTTCGTGTCTCGCAGTTATATGTACGCGATTATATGCAGATTTTTTGCTGCCGGTGCCGATTGTTATGTATTTATCTTTCTCTCTCTTTCTTTCTCTCTTACTCCTAAATGATTGACGTTTCATTTAAAATTGACATTTTGAAAGAAAATATTGATATATTCTATGCTATATCAATGATCTGTCGATATTTGTACAGGATATTGCGACTTTGGGATTTATATCACGTTGCTAGAACGTCGTCGTCAATTCCATAGTTGGGTGAAAAAATGGTGAATATAAATTTTTAATCCTCTTTTAATTTGTGTTGTTTAAGAACATAATCTGTCCTTGTTACAGAGTTATAATCCCTGTTTTGTATGCCTTGAGCCACCTGATGATAATAAACACAGAAGAATGTTTGATGAAAAATGGTTGATTAATTTAGAAGAGGAAAATATAAGTAAGAAATCTGATGGACATAAAACAGTGAAAGCAGCTATCGAATTAATTCTTGGCTATAAAGTAAGTATTATATAATAATTTATATATATTTACAAACTAGTTTAATACGATTATTATATTATCCTTTTTAGGTACCAGAAATATATGACATAATTTTGTGCCAAACATGTTTTCATAAAGTAGAATCTTATATAAAATTCCGTTCTCGACTTATTAAAATATTTGAAACATACAACTCTATAATATCAAATTCCTCTAATTTAATAAACTCGGAAATTTCAGGTACTTCATTAATCTCTAATATAGGTTTGTTGGTAATAATGAATTAAAATACACAATTTATTTATATGGATATGTATACACATTACTGATAGAAATAAAATTTCAGAATCAGATATATCCAAGGAGGTAACAAATATTAATGAAGAAAATGTTTCTTCCAATATATCTAATATATCTAATAGTTATAGTCTGTGGAACATTGAAACTGAAAATGATTCTTATGCCACTCCATTACCAAACTTCCATCATAACATTGATAATGTCTCTGATCATGACAGTGACATTGATGATAATTTAAACTCTGATATATCTCCTTCAAAGATTCAGAAGAGCGATATAGAATCAGATATAAATGTATATTCTGGCGAAGATAATGAAATATTGGAATTGTCTATTAAATATGAACATGATGAAGTTCTTAATCTCAGCTCAGCAGAATCAGAGGAAGAGGCCGATTATGGACCAACTTTCAAAAAAATCAAACTTTCAAATCAAATATCTCCATTGATATTGTTTTAATAACTTGTAAACATTGATTATAAGTTATTCCATAAGTACAAAGTAGATTAAAACTAATAAATTTATTTATATGCATAAAGTAAGTAAATGTAAGAGTAGTAAGAGTAGTAAGTAAATGTAAGAGTAGAAGTAAATGTAATACAATTTGTAAATGTATTACAATTTGAAAATATCTGATAATCAAATCATACATTAAATATATATACATATATATACATGTATTCAGTACGTTTTATGTAATTATTTATGTTATTTCAAAGCATGAGAGAAATATAAATAAAATATTGTTTTAAGATTACATCTTTTAAGACAATATCTGTTCTAAATCCATATATAATTATTTCAGATAATATTTTCCATAATATAGAAATATGTACCTTCATTTAATATACAGATTTCGGTATATTGTTCGATTTTAATTGATTTTATTTTATTCTGTTTAAAAATGCAATAATATAAGAACGAAATTCTAAGCTCCATGAACAACTGGCCCATTAGCTCAGTTGGTTAGAGCGTCGTGCTAATAACGCGAAGGTCGCGGGTTCGATCCCCCCATGGGCCAATCTTTTTTTTATTTCTATATAAATATTTTAAAATTTATAAATGTATTTCTAAAACCCCAATTTCAATTATATTACGAAAAAGCATAACGTTTAAATTTTATTTTATTTTCATTATTATTTTAGTGTCATAATTATATCTTTACGCAATCTGATGAAATTGACATCTCTCTTGTTTTTATTTTAGTATCTGCTAAATATACATATATATATATATATTCAATATGTGATTGAATGTGAAAACATTATTCATCCTCCATGGCACATTTTCGATATAAATTCCAAATTTTCAATTTACTTGCACTAAACGTAATATCTCGATTAATATTTACGCATATTTATAAATAAAAAAGTATGTATTAATCATAATGTATTTTCAGAAAAATAAATATAACCACTTCTTTTGGCAACAATCGTGGCATTGTGCCAAGGTTTTCTCTTCAAAGAAAAATACCAATGAGTATTATAACAAGAGATCAATACAAACTACATTAAAGAATTCTGAGCGTTATGGTAAATTTTATTAAAAAATAACCTATTTATGCAATAATAAAGGAAAAAATATTCATAAAGAATTTAGAAATTTGTTTATTTTAACATATTTTAATGTATTTCAATTAGAATTAAAAAGAAAGAAGGGTTTGAATTTCCAAAGGACATCGATAAGGAAAAAGAAACCTGTGGAATTAACCTTTTGGAAATATATATTTGATCCTAAAAAATTCTCAAAGATCTTTTCTGTTTACTGGTTAACTCATCGTCAGAGAAAAATATATGATGAAAAGAATTTACATGATCAAGCAACACGCAAAGATGTATTAGTCTATAATGAGCCGATGAAATCTTTAGAAGAATCCAAAAAACTCGTGAAATTACAACTTAAGCCATTACCAAAGTACAAAATGCCAATAGCTGTTTTGCTAAACAACACGATGAAAAAAGATGTCACCAAGGTAGCGAAGAATATTCAATCACATTTTTGTTAAGACCGGATTTAAAATTATGTAAAGTATCTAAAAGTTATTGACATTCCTTAAATATTATACAATCTATTGTCTTATTATTTAGGATATATTATTTATTATATATCTGTTTAGGATATATTATTTATTATTTAGGATATATCTGTTAATTATGAGAAGAGTGACATTTATGAGGATAAAATAGTAACATCTACAGCGTCCAGAAAACCATATGAAGAGATGAAGCCGCCTTCAAATATTAAAAAAGTTATAAACATTAAATTGAACGGCATTAAACCATATGAGAAACCAATAAGTATAATAGAAGCCTGTGATGATACAACGAAGGTTCTGCGCCAGGCTATGATGCAGGAAGAACCACCAATGTACTCGAGAATCGAGCGACTTAAGATTTTAATAAATGAAAAAATTACCAAGTCCGAAAGTGCATCGGAAACAGATTCGAAACGTAAAAATCTCAATGGATAAATATCTACAGTTGGCTGTACAATAATTAATAATAAATAAACGCTTTTTTATAATATCTTCCGTTTCTTCGGTTTCTTCAATTCGCCATTTTAAAATTAAGCACGATGAACGAATGATTCTTTTGCGCTCCTGATTTTTAGCTGGAGGCAAAGTCCTGCATACTGAAAGAAAATGATTTTCTATATAATTAAAACATCGAAGGAAAGGAAAAAAATGGTTGATCAGAAGAGAGCAAAAAAAATATGAGTAAAAAAAACGACCCTTTATTACCGACTGTGTTGTTGAGTTACACATCACGAGATGGACATGCACGCCGCCAGATGACTCCAGCCGTGGCCGCGAGCGTGCCGTTCGCCGATTAGTCCGCTCGTTTGTAAGCGTTGTTTTGTCATTTTCTACATTTTATTGTTATCTATAGAAAGAAATTAGCGAGCCGTGCACGAGCGCGCGCCAACACTTTCCTTCCGGTCACGAGTAAACGCCGAAGAAAACGATATCTCGCGCCTCGTCGCCCTTATCGCCGGACAAGTCTCTCGATCGGACATAACCGTTGTATCGATCCGAGACACCGCTCTCTAGCTTGCCCGCCCATCACGGTACATGGTAAGAGGTTATGTTACCTTTGTCAGCTCGCACCGCATGATTTCCGGTGATTCTTGATCTCTCGGGCTGCGTTCCGATATTCGCTGCATGTGCTAAAAATCTATAATATACGTGACCTGAACTATATATATTTCAGTACTGGCAGTGAATATCGGAACGCAGCCTCGGTGTAAGGTGCACGGAGAAGCAGATAACGTATAACATATAACAGAATTACATCTTGCAGCAGAAGCGATTGGTAAGAAAGATGGAATGCGCTTTGAAGCACGCGCCAACTGCATGTGCGATGAACCGTAACTCCGGGCTCCTAAAACAGAGGAGCTTCTTGTCATGAAAAAAAAATATAATGCTCCGTCGAATGTCGTTGTCGCTCCGCATCAACGTGGGCTTCCTTCGCAGTGCTGGCCACGGAGCAGACCGCCAATGTCTTGCAGAGGAGCTGCCGCTGTCGCCGCTTTCATGTCGAGACGACAAAGTCGCGAGAGAATCTGCTCCGAGGGCGAAGGAACGGAATGTATGCCCGTCGATACACTTTTTGCTTCGTCGAGAACAGAAGAGATTGGTAGAAAGGATCGAAGAATTAAGAGGAATGAGAATTGGCATCAAACATCAGCCGAGAAGAACATTGATGTCGAGACGGTAGCTAGCGATTTTGAAAAATGGCTAAAAATGCGCAGCACGGAGCCATCGGTACCATCGAGTATGGACATGGATGCAACCAAGGTGGTGGAAGGCGTAGACCGATATCTGGGAGAAGAGATACTGTCACACGGTTGCTTTCTGGGCAAAGATCCATATGGTTTGTCTCTCGACATCGATCTAACGGATACCAAGAAGCTCAATTTATCATCAGGGTACGATGCAATATTACAAGATCTAACGCACGGCGAAAATCGGCTATTAGAGCCGCCGTGCGAGAAGGTCGTCGACGAGTTTATGTTGCCAGAGTTTCAATTAGATCATTTGGATCCATTGACAGCGCTCTCGCCCGACGATATGATGGTGGCCGGTGAAATTCTGCCATCCACGAGCAGTCAGCCAACGCTGAACGTAGAAAATCAACATGTAGAACAAAACGCACCAAAAATAAAAAATCTAGGGCAGGACAGTGAGATATCCTGTGAGAAATCCACACAGGTTACTCTCAATGAGCTACCGGTGAATATAACGGTTCTACACGAGATGGAAAACATAAAATCTATGCAGGAAACTATAATACAACCTTCAGAACAAAATTCCTCGGAGCTTTTCATTGGAACTATACCGACAATGGAAGAAAATTTGTCAAATACCATAAATTCTATGGAAACAGAAACTCAAAATGTCATAATAGAACAGTTGAAACCCAAATCTAAAGCGAAACTTGTACCTCGTATTATCAAAAAACGTCGCAAGATGACGGAGCGAATGGAGAAGAAACTTGACAAGCATATCAACAGTAAAAGCTTTGCCGTTGATGCAAATTCGCAGGATGGCATGATGGCTTTGGTTGCTATATCTACCGATAAGATCTCCAACACGACACAGATCGTTATCAATACTGGCACAGAAAAGCAAGTTTATCAGGGTAAGACTTCGGAATTGATTGAAGCTACAGGCAATTTCCCTAAATTACCTAAAATAGACACTTCTGCTGCGGCTTGGAATAGCTCGGTTGAATACGGCATTGACAGCAATCCAAGTAGTCAATATGAAATTTTTATATCCAATGCATTGGAGGAACTAGGCATTACCGATGATAGTCTACAGCCCTTGTGTGCCACCGAAAATGACAAGGTCTGGCTCTGTCCACGAGATGGTTGCAATAGACAGTTTGGCAGATTGTATACACTAAAAGGTCACTTGTTGGCTCATTATGGAGTTAGGCCATTTAAGGTATGTTAAAATATTGCGTATTTATCTTCTCCCTCTAATCTCTTTTCTTCTTTACAATTAGTATAATTTTATAGCAAATAAAATTGTTCAAAACTTTCACAATAATTTAATTCTTAAAATTATTCGGCAAATCATGTTTTTTTATTTGCGATTATTTAATTAATTATATTTTTACAGTGCGATTTTGAAGGCTGCACTTGGGCCTTTTATTCCGAGTTCAAATTGAAAAGGCACAAAGAGACTCATTTGAAGCGCAAGGATTATGTGTGCGAAGTAGAGGGTTGTAACCGTCGTTTTACCACTGTCTACAATTTATGGAGCCACGCGAAGTTACACAATCGTCCTAATCGAATTGTCTGTCAGGTGCCAGATTGCAACGAAAAGTTTCAAACAAAACGTGCATTGGAGTTACACATGAAGTCGCACGATCAGCGCCACGCACCTTACGTGTGTCAGCACGAGGGTTGCGGCAAGCGTTATTATAGCAGCAACGCATTGACATCGCATCAGCGATCGCATAGCTACAAAGAAGTGGACATCAAATGCTCATGGTTAGGCTGCGGCAAAATTTTCGATAAACCATGCCGACTCAAGGCCCACATGCGTTCCCATACCGGTCACAAACCTTATCCCTGCACTTTCCAGGATTGCAAGTGGGCTTTCTCATCGTCCAGCAAGCTCAAACGTCACCAGAAGAAACATACGAACGAGCGTAAATTTGTATGCGATGTGCCGGATTGTGGTAAAGCGTTTATGCGTTCGGAGCACCTGAAGGAACATCGGTTGACGCACACAGAAGGTCGTTTCTTTCAGTGCTTTGTATGCGCTGCCCGATTCTCTGCCAAGAGTAGCTTATACGTGCACATTAAGAAGCATCAGCAAATCAAACCAGATCTGAATATAAATGGTATATCTCAATGCACCTCTAGTGATCAAAAACGCACGAGAACGAAAGATTCTCGTTGTTCGCGAGTAAAGCCCATTGTTGAGTCGGACCAACAAAATGCAGAATTAATTAACGCCACAGAGAGTATTATGAAAGAGAACGGCGTTGAGCAGAATGCTTATCTGATGGATGAAGATCAACTGGAATGGTTGTACCGTTGTCCGGTAGATGTATGCGGGCATTTGATGAATAGCGAGAAGAATCTTCGTGAGCATATGCTGAAAACACACGACATACATTGCGATGATTTACTATCTAAACCGTCTTCGGACAACACCGATATAGATTACGTTTTGTATACCGTGCATAGATCATCCGCGAATTCGCCTACTGCCATTGAGGAAGAACAAATGGTCATGGTGACTCCATGCGATGCCGTTATCCTTGATGCCTCCCCATCAGAAACAGATCATTGTCTGCCAGAATCGTCACCTTTCAACACTTTGCCGAAGAGTTCGGAAACGTCCCAAAACAATGTGGAAACTGACAAGGAAACTATATCGATGAAAGAACAAGGCTCGGCAAGGACAGATCTAACATATTCTGATTGGTCTAGGCTAAAGGAGAACGGTACGCTGGTGAATCCGATAGTGACTGAGACGTCGGACATTATGACATTGGACACGAATGGTGATTTGAATGAGGGTCTGTTATTTACAGAGGAATTGCCATCGATGTATTATCAGGACGATGTGGCAGGTACAGAATATCAAGTGCTGTTATTAGATTCAAGTCCGCTCGAAAGTGCTGGCAATTTACGTGGTCTCGAGTGACATTCGTAATGAACGCAAGTGATGATTTCCACCACCATAGTCTCGAATAATTTTCGTGATAGAGTGCTCTCGACCAAGTGATGATCGTATGATTATTTTGGACATGGCAATGTGATGATTATTTTAAACATAGCTTAAGAGTGGCATAATAGTTCCGAATAATGATCGTTATCAAACATAGCTTTTGTGGTAACTAATACGATCTGTGATCCAGGAACTGGCCTCAGCCTGATATTCATTTGTATTGTGCGGCCCATAATAGCTTTAAAACGTTATTTTATTAATAAATCGTTGATATTTTTCCATAAAAAAAATCGTTATCTGTGTATTTCATTGCTATTGCTATCCGATTATGATGCGCGCTTTAAAGTCATGTATCGTTTATAAATAATTTATTTATTTACTTTTTCATGTTTTAATTTATATTTTTTTATAAAACACGCACACACACAGATACACTTTCGCGTTTGTTGATTGATACAATTCAATGTCACGTTGCAAAAAGTCTGCCATTTAATATTTTTTTTTTCTAAAATAACAGACTATTTCATGATAATTACAGCAAGTTATATAATAGAAAAAGTGCAATGTATAAAAGGATAGATATGCATACAATTTAAAGAGCAATTCTTCATTATTTTACGCTATGGATTTATATACAATCTATATTTTATTAATAGCAGAAAAGGTATTTAGCTATTACAATCAATTAACTGCAATTGGCTGCATACACAATAATCATATGGCATACAATCACACGCATTAATAAGATAGAAGTTTAGCTAGATAGGAACTCTCTGAGAAATATACGAACAGCTAGCTTGAGCTTTATAAATAAATAAATCTCCGTTGTTAAATAAAATTATGGTATTAATGTCATATTCTGGAATTTATGTGCATCCTTATGTACACATCTTGTTTTAAATCTTACTTTTCGCTTAACATCATCTTATTTAATAATAATAATGTTATATCAAAATTTTTTGTGATACTAACAAGTATTAAACTATTAATTATTATACGTTATTAATATTAAATATAAAAATTCAGTATATAAAAAATTTGCAATCTCACTTTTAATTAATACTATTTACTTAATAGTAAATAGCTATCTAATACCCCAGAAAATGTTTGTTACAACTTAAATATATATATATATATATATATATATATAAAATGTTCACATAATCTAGAATGAATTCAAGAATGCATAATAAGTTTATTGCAGGATGATTCTAAATCTAAAAATGTATTTACAATGCTTTTCAGAATTACAAAAATGCAAGATGATAGTAATATCATGTAATTAAATACAAAATGAGAATATCAATTCATGATATATAATTAAATAAAATGGAATGTTTACGCGATTAATTATTTTCCTTAGCAAAATTTGCAATTATTTAAAGAAAAGAAATTCTTCATAGTTTACATGAATCTTTGTTCTCATATGAAAAATAAACACATATTCGGAATAATAACGATTATAATAATGATTATAATAATAATTATAATAATCAAAAAAGCATTCAGCAATATCGACCTTTTACAATACTGTCATTTACTATATTTTCTAATATAAGCAATTTTACGTAGAATCTAAAATGGGAATGAACTTTACAATCAGAATTATATCCCGACTGATAAGCGATAATAGTGATAATCATTGTTTTTTAGTTTGCTAGAAATATATAAGAAAAAGCTCATAAAATCGCAGAAGGAATCACTCAGTCGTATCACTCATCAAACACTCTGTTAAATATCCTTTAATAATATTTCGTCGTTGCAAACAAGCTAGTCCATAAAAAGCTCGCTCGCCAGAGAAGGACTCCTCTATTTGTAGATATAACTGTGTCAAGAAGGCACATTTTCTTTGTTTTGCCGAATTTTAAATTGCCCCAATAATCAATGAACCTACGTGCCCACAGTTATTAAATTCTTTCTCTGACGAAGGCGTAACACATTTCTATATAATTTCTATCGGTTAAACTACTTCCAATTTTTCCGGAAGCTGTTTATTATCCGTCATGTTTGTCTGCGCAGGTTTATTGAATCTCTTGGCGATCTTGCGATAGATTCGATCTCTGATGTTCGCCAGCATGCAGATGACGCAATGCAGTACTGTAACGAACGTAAAACCACCGATACAAATGAGCAATGTCCGCACTGGTTTCTTCCAATCGAGGACTTTGTAGATGTAATGATAGCCATACTTGTCTAGACCGCCGGCAACGTAATATATCACTGAGAAAATAACGTAGAAAAATACGATCGAAAGGCACCACCAAAAGTTTCGCAGACGAAACGATATGCTGGTGACAAATAGATCAACCAGCATTAGCACACTGTTGCATACGTGCATCATAATGTTAAGTGGATCCACCTGATGGATCTCCGGATTATATACGGCGAGCCAGTAGCACATTGTTACGCCGATTGCCATATTAGTCGTGACGACGTATAGAAACCAATATACCCGCTCGGTGAACTCCAATTTGAGATTGCTGGGGTCGAAGCCAGATATCTTTTGCAATTGCCATCGCTTCGACACGAGGATACCACCGATTAGCGCCTGGGTGAAACCCAACACCGCATCCCAGTTGGTCAGATAGATCGGCCATTTCTCGTGCTGCCACAGTTTCTTGTAGCTGCCAAATTCGAATATCGAACACACGACGAAGCTGGCCCACACGAGGAAGATAATCCAACGATAGTACAAATACCAAATGGCCACGTACGGTTGACACTTCGGCTCGGATAGCAGACGAGCATGTGGCGGCTCTTGTCTGCCCGCCTGCTTCCATCTGCGCCCGATCTCCTGACACCAGAGCTTGCTCACCATTGTACGATGACCTGAAAGAGGTACAGAATGATCAATGATGTTACATTTCTCAAATAGAAGTGGAGAATTTGCTTTCAATATATCGCAAATTAGCTTTTTCTTAATTAGAAAAAGAAAACTCAGTGGGTTCAGTATGGAAGAGCTAGAAGAGCATACTTAAGAAAGTGAGAAATTGGATGGGACACGCGTCGCAAAAAAAATCCAGAACAGAATCGAGATTAAGAACTGCGCGTCCGCGACGATTCGCAATGAATGACGAGGAGACGGTCGGTTCAATTTCTGAAAATGGTACATAGCGGGAACAGGCGATCATGCTATCCGGAATGGAGCGGGATCGGATGATTAACGTCTTAAATAAATGTAATTAAGTTTCGAAAATGACCGCGCGTGGCTTCGTCGCGCTTGGATGAGCAAGCGCAAATACGACACGACCACTTCCGGTTTCCTGCTACAATCGAACGGAATGTTGCAAAAAAAAAAAGAAAAGAAAAATGTTTTATTCCGATATACAAAGTTCTTTCTATGCAAACATGTATCCAATCGTAACAAGCAATTGATTACTTCTTTTTGGAATTTTATATTTATTTATTTAATTATATGAGAATTATGTAATATTATCTTTTTACATTGAATCAATGAGCACAAGGAATACATGTACTATTAATTAATTTAATTAACAAATTATTGGAAGACCTGATTTCTTTTCCCTTCGAGATTCCTAAAGTTTTCTTTGACGCGCGCGCGCGCGCGCGATATTTAGGTCGAGATATAAAAATAATTTATTGTTACAGCAGCAGAAATGTCTTAAGAATACATAATATACATGACACGACAAAAAAAGAGCCTCAATTTCTTTAGAGGATATTTCTCGTGCGACTCACATAGTGAACATTGTAAGAAAAACAACAGTAGCCGTTTAGAGGAAGGCAATCCTGTGAATGAGAGCACCATCCTCGCGAAAGACACGGTCGCGATGACGCGACGAGGAATTTTACGTGCGGTACAGAGCACCTAACCTAACTTTTATCCATCAACTACTTGATACTCGCGCGATATCATCCAATCGAGATGAAACGCGCCAACATGAGCCTCTCTTTGAATATTTTCTCCAAAGTTTGAAGAGTCCCAGCTACTATTCCTTTGCAACTTTTGCATGCGTTGCGCATATAAACCTTGTACAAAGCTTGGAGTTTTATTCGTGGAATATTTTTGTCATAATTACACGCAAACGGAGTGAGAGGATTATCGCGCGTAAAGTTTGTTAGCCATTTGCTGTAACTTTATAACGGCGCACTGGAAATAAAATTTTGTTTGCGTAATAATATATGCGTAGCATAATGAATTTACGCAAAACGTTTTCTAGGAATACAGGATAGATAAATAATAATAATAGATGAGATACGATGCGAAAATGTACTTACGAATTAAACGTGAGGAAAGAATACGCGCGTCCTTCGAAAAACCGTCAGCGTTATTAATAAATATCCTTACAAGAAGTAACGAAATTAAATTAAATTCGCTTTGAATGTCACACATAAATTGAAGCAAATCGTTTCATATTTCGCACCTCGCGCACTCACGCCTGAAAATTCTAATCTCGAAGAATATTCACGATCGATCGTCTCACATTTGAATTCGCAATTAACTTCCGAGCTTGAAACAGAAGCGAATTAAAGCGTTTGAAATTTCTCGATCGGCGCGGCCGATGTATAAATTACAATTTCGTGCGGAGTAACGAGAAGAGTTTGTAAAAGGCGGAGTCATGGATGGCGCGCCCGAGGATATATTTCTTACATAAAAGCAAAATGCGGATAAACGTCGCGAGGTCTGAACCTTAGCGCCCCGCGGACGGTTCCAGCCGTAATAAAGATCGTCTCGTGCACGGTCACGTATTTGGACGTTCGGATCGTGCCAGAGTGCCCCCGGGCGTCTTCGTCGCGACGCAGATGAGAGGCCACTTTGAACTAATTAACCTCGTTGGTCCGCCGTGATGCTGAGGTTCACACGGCGTGACAAGAGAGATCGGTCGGCGCTCATAAAGGGGGGAGGGGGGTCGCGCGGTCAATCAGCCAATACTAATTCACTCTACTTCATTTATTACAATCTTCGTCTATTACTACCGATTACACCGATACGAGCAGGTAGATTTCTCGGATTCAAGCGAATCGTCATTCTTTCAAATGTCTGCCTTTACTTTGAAAGGTAGAGGAAAGTAAAAATGCTCGTAGGTAAAACGGAAAGTAGCTATATAAGATTCATTTTTCGTGAGATCGTTCTTTCATTATTTTCGATCTAATTTTCACGTTATCGTCATTTTCTGTACTACATGGGGGCAGAGGCGAGTTGAGAGAAATCGTCGTCAGAATGGCATTTTATAGAAAAAAATCGCACGCCTCGTTTCAAAATTGTGACAACCGAAATTGTGTCTCGTGCATCTTTTCCTTTATTTTTTATTATTCTAGTGATTCGTGACTTTTATTGATTATTCTTTAACGAATCTTAAAGCTCCTGTTTACTCATCACTATTATCTCAAATTATGGTCAGAAATGAGAAATTATAATATAATAAATAAATAAAATAAATTATATTTATAATAAAATACGAAAAGTGAACAGTTTCCTTAAAATATTTGGCTAGATACAGATTTGAAAATAATTTTGTAATTTTGTAATTTTAATTTTAAGCTATTAAAATAATTTATGCGAAATGCTTAAACACGACAGTTTTACAATTGCATTTCTACTTTAGCAACTAATTTGAACATTACGAAAATTATTTTCATATTTGCATTTAATCAAATTTTCAGATAATAAAAGTTCTTGCAAGATATATTAAAATCGAAATATATTTCGATAAAGCAATACATACAGTCGACAGAAATGATTTTTAATATATTGAAAACTCTCCTTTTGTTTCATTAATTAATTAAAAACTGTATATCCAGAAATGAATTATGCATAATCAAAAACGAAATAAACTAAGTTCACAAGTATAACAATTGTCAAATTAATAATATGTAGAAATAAATATGATTTAATTTCTTCCTATCATAAAGAGATAATTTTCAGTATATTTTATAAGTCTATTCTATTAATTGCAAATCTTATTATTAAAAAATATTTTTATTTAAATATATTTTCTATTTTTGTAATTTTTTATTATGTATTTTATTGTTTCTGACAATAATAAATGATGAAGTGATGAACAAGAGCTTTAAATTGTTAGAAATAAAAAGGAAATTTGAATATTATCTATTCTTAGATGTTGCAGTAAAATAAACAAGATTATTATATTAATCCTATTTCGTGTTTTAAAACATTACGAAACAACTAATATATTATGAAATAATATATTATGAAATATCGATTCATGGAAATCTTTATCACGATTTTACAATTTATCTAATGTTTATTGAGAGCTTTTAACAATGGATCACATGATTAGAATAGAAGATAAGAAATTGCTGAAGATAAGAATATGCAACTATCTTTCATTAAATATATATAAGATTTTTACAATTTACAATTTTGTAATATATAATAATTAATTTTTATGGTAGAGAAATTTAAATAAATACAAATATAGTAAATATTAAAGAATAATTATGAAAACAATTTCTAATTTTATAAACATCTAAAATTTATATTGTTACAAAGATTATTCTTATTAATTCTTTTTAATTTTACGAAATTTTTATAACTAGCGAATAAAAATAAATGAAATATTGAGAGTGAAAAGGAGAAATGATTAATCTAAATCTCTTTTCTTCAACAACCAAGATTAATTTAACTTCTCGTTCTCTTAATTTACAATTAATAAGACGCTTTGTACTATTTTTACAATGTAATTTGATGCAGTTCATCCCTTTCTTTCTCTATTTTAAAAATCTCTCGTACTTACGCGTTTTCTAATTGAAATCTTCAAATAAAATTCACATTTTTAATAAAATGTTTAATAAAAACAATTCACACAAATGTTTTTCTGATACGTGATTTGCGAATTTGTAACGAACTACGATTTCTTGTTGGTCAATAACGCGTCGCCACGTACACGCGGCCGATGTCAACGATCGACTAAACTAAAGTGAAATTCTCTCTCACGAGAAAATACGCGAGAATAATACGTCAGAGATTGACGTCAGGATAAACGATAATCGTGGCGTTTCACGGAAAGTAATAGAATGATGCGCGATTATCGATATGAGTCGAGGTAAGCGTTAGTTAGAGGAGAAAGGAAAGTGGGAAAAGGGAGGGAAAATGATGGTATCTTTTATCAGGATCATACGATACAGTCTGGTAAAAAAACCAATAACATTTGTACTCTTTGAATTGGGAACCCAACTGTGTAAACTTGCCGATTTACCTGTTAAAGATAAGTAGCTTTTTATTATGAATGATTATATGAGATTATATGTGAAATATTATGTAGCCTAAAAACAAATTACTTTTTGTTGAATCTACAGAAAAATCAGTTTCGCTAAAATATCTAAAAACTCGCTGAGATCTGAAAATAATTTTCTATTAAATTATTTAGATCTCAAATCGGTTGCTAAAATATAAAATATTTGTAAAATCATCTTGTTTATGCATTTCGTATAATTATTTTGATGGTCCAACAAAAGTTATTTAATTTTTCTAATCTAAATTTCTGTATTTCTGCATCTGATATCAAATTTTTAGATATTTCCATACCATTCACTTTCCGTATACTGAATGAGAAAAAGAAGAAGACAGGAAATGAATAGTATGTATATGATTTGTACGATAATCCTTATTGGTCGACCTTATAAGTCAATCGAATAAGTTTGTTTGAATTTAGACAGTTACCAGAGATAAACATGTTGATATAATATGTATCACGTTAACCAGTTCGACTCTCATTAATTTCAAAGATTATGTCTTATGACTCTTTCAGTCTCTTGTAATATAATATCAATGTATATATATATATATATATATATATATATATATATATATATATATATTATAATTATTAGTTGTAATAATTTTTGGGCTAAGATTTTTATACTTTTGCTCTTTGATCGATAGCCTATTGAACCAATTGCCATACTATATATATGTACATAATACATATATATGTATGTGATATTTGGTTCAATGCGCCATCGATCAATAGACAAAGTAAAATCTTGCTTAAAATTAATAGAAAGAATTATTGACATGCATTGATGTACATACAGATTGTTAAAAAAACCATTCTTTATACGGTAGATAGTACACACCATAAAAACACTGAATAAAAAAACCTTAATAAATATAAATCGAAAGGTTAATTGTTTCTGAGCTAAACATTTTTGTATGCATCATAATTAACTTAGTGATTTTTACATAATATACGATGTTTATCTAAACATAGTGTATTCTTCACCGATAAATGACTTAGAAAAATTACATGACTGAATCCAGAATGCTTGTCAAATAATTTGACAAAAATCTGGGATTTTTGAGTTCGCGACTGTATAAGAGGAAGATGCCGAATATTTATGGAAATGGAAAGACATCTGGAACATTTTCTGTAAATATCAAGATGAAGATTTAAATAGGTTATCTTCTTCTTATGTGACATATCGGTAAATCAATCATAATGCTAACGTACGAAAATGTTTATATTTCAAAAACGATTGAAGTTTCAACTTATGTTCTTTAAGATTTTTTACTTAGTATGGTATATACTGTTTACTATATAAAACATTAAAAAATTTCTTTTTATACCTTATATATATATATATATATATATAAAGATGCACACACACACACACACACACACACACACACACACACACACACACACACACACACACACACACACACACACACACCATGTTTGTCACATGGGACATTTCCATCTTCCCTCATAATACTTATGTTTAACCAGACAATGTACACTATTGATAAAATTATCATTGATTTTTCTTCATGACCGAACGTGCAACGTGTTAAATAATAACGTGTTAAATAATTTGCCGTTGATAACAGCATTTCTGTTTTACATACGTTCATCAGATCGATCTAATTAACAGAAATATAATATACTACAAAAATTGTTATTTTTATTTTGACAAACTGACCTGTCTCGATCACTTTGAAATTCTCAAAATTTTCAATAAAAGCATTAAAAAAATCTAAGAAATATGATATAATATCATGCACAAAATCTCGTGAGAATTTAATATAAATTTAAAATTCTTGTCGTGAGAACTTGCGAAGTGCTCTTAAACTCGAAGAACCAAGGAAAGAGTGGGAAAACACGTACCGCATAACGCAAATAGTTTCAATGACTTCCTCGGAATGATTCGTTCAACGACGCTGTCGTTCTTCTCCAACATATCATGAATTTCGATTTCGCACTCAGGAGACATAACTTCTTTATCTTTCTCAGTAACCGACTTCCTACCTGATGTACGGTTCACCTTTAACTACACCAGCTCCGCGTGTTTGCAATCAATATCAATCCTAGGGTGGACACAGGCTCGAAGTTTCCCTCCCCAAACTATTGCGGGCCTGTTCACCGTTTACTTCCCACTGAGAAATCCCCACCTTGATGCAGCACGTCGAGGCGTTATGAGATAAAATGACATTGCAGATTGTCTCGAACGTTAGTCTTCTACGATTGTATTTTTAATGAAACAAGTACGAAAATTGTACTTAATACATTGTTTGATTAAAAATCATTCATAAATTATGTTCAGTAAATAGTTTATTGAATATTTTCGTAAATGGCGGTAATCCTAAAAAAAGATATTTGTAACAGTAATTATGTTTTTTCACTTATTAAGGCAAATAAATATTTAAGTGAGTATGTGTGAGTAATAAGAATTCAGAAATGGATGAAAATCATTTCTATATAAAAGTGTTATGAAAATAAAGTTGAATTTTGTTTGAATCATTGAAGATTATCGATTTTCTCATTTGTTTCTTCATTTATTTTCTCATATAAGTATATTTAATTTTTTAAATACATTTCATGTTACATATTATCTATGAA